TGCTGAACGTTCAGCACAGATTAGACCGGGAGTGTCAAACATATGGCCCGCGGGCCAAAACCGGCCCGCTGGGGTGTTGGATCTGGCCCGCTTGATGGCTTTTGAAAATAAGACAAATGTTCAAACACTTCAGGAATAAATAAGAATAAATATCTAATATACTTGTACTTTTTGGATGAAAACAAAGAGGAAAACATGGACTTATTATTTATTGGCCCACATGACAATTAATTAGCAATTAATAGATGCCCCTGGATTAGACTGACATTATTATAGACGACACTGGTGGTAGTTCAAGAAGCTGGCAGACGACGAGCTGACTAATTGATTGAGCGTCCATTTATAAAGTGGTTTCATGGAATGGGTAAAAACAGGTGAGGCATAAAGGGTTAAATCAACCGCCATATCAGGATATGGAATAACCAATAATAATATAACAAATTAATTTAAAGAATAAATAACTTTCTTAACTTAGCTAACTTCTGTGCATCCTTTTTTTTTGTCACCTTCCTCCTCTGAAGTACTATTTTCATGGTCCTTTGACTTTGTCTCTCAATACGTCACATGACTAATGACTAATATCTCGGAATCTCAAAGGATTTCCAGGTTAGGTTTAGGTAAAAGAATAAATACGCTCAGATCACAGGAGGTCAAGGGTTAGAAGTAAAAAAGGTCCACGATTAGGAATTAGCGTAAGTCGGAGAAGTACAAAGGCACAAAGATGTGTGTGTGTGTGTGTGTGAAAGGGAGAGAGAGAGAGAGAGAGAGAGAGAGATGAAGGCTACGGCTCTGTCAGGAAAACAAACAAAGCCACACGTAGCTGCCACACTCCTCGTCTCCTGGCTGCACGCCACGGGCCTCACCACAGACCACAAACTTACGCCATCCACACCAACGCGCTGGCGCACACGCCGCGATCGGCTCCACGTGGATACGCCCACGGACTTCAAATCGTCTCCTGTACAGCAACAGCAGATCGTCCAGATAACCCCACAAAGAAAAATCATCCGCTATTATGGCGGACGGCGCTCCTTGACATTGTGTCATTAATAAGGCCATTGTGGAGGCCGCTCTGTGTTTGGACACACGTATAATAGACTCTTTGACAGATCTACCCTCTGCCCCCGGCTCCTTTTTTCACCCTCTCTGGTGAGTACAACGGGGTATATTCCACACCGCTGCTCATCAACAGGCGAGCTGTTTGTTTGCTCACTCATTCTGGACCCACGGTAAATACATAGAGGTATTCCACAGCAGAGGCTGAGCAAACAGGGCTTACATAAAGGCACTGTACACACGCACACACGCACACACACGCACACACGTAAACACCTCGCCACGCTCTCGTTTCATCTACTCCCTGAATCTACTCGTCTTTCTTGTTTGTATTTATTCTTTTCTTTTCTCCCTCATTCAAACTGAACCCAGTCTGGCGTCATCTCCGCCCACGGGTGAAGGACGGTAACGTGGTGTTGGTGGGTTGGGCCGGGACGATACGAAGGACGGCAGGTGTTTCACATCAACCACCATATTCGTCACAGACTTGTACGGGCTGACCAAATATAACGCAAGAGTTGACTCACTTGACATTTGAGTTTTTTAACCTTCTCACAACACATTTACAGTTTAGCCTTGTCCATAGATGCTACGTAAGAACTGGTTGGAGATAATTCGCTTCAACAGCCGTGGTATTGATCCCAGAGCTAACGTTAGCTACAACAGTCCTGGTACAGACACCAGAGCTAACGTTAGCTACAACAGTCCTGGCACAGATACCAGAGCTAACATTAGCTACAACAGTCCTGGTTCAGACACCAGAGCTAACGTTAGCTACAACAGGAGTGCAGATGAATTTCAGGGGAAGTGAGTCAGAAACGTTGTTGATATCATATCCTGTGTTCCATCATTAGTAGAAAGATTAGGGCTTTTATCCCTCGTTACATTCACTTTAATGACAACAGGTCATATAAACTGTTAGTTGGCTCATATTAGCAGACAGCTGAAGACGTTAGGCATTCATAAAAGTGAAATGTCTATTATTCTGTTGTGGTCTGGGTGTCAGCACTGGTTAGCCTTTTCTGTTACTGGGAGAATTTTCACAACATTAGGACCGTGTTTACTGTAAACTTGAAGGATCATAATAAAAAGCCCAACTCCAGACCTGGGTCCTGACCCTTATCATGAACCTGACTTTAGCCTTATCTAATTCATGAGTGTGTGTAATGTTTGCTAAAAAACGGCCACTGTGTACACGATCAACAGCAGTTCAACAGTCGCCGTCAGCACCCTCAAATTAAACTATAGCCTCGCTGATGATGGACAGGGTTAAAGAAAAACAAGACGCTCATCGGTTTGAAACCGTCAAAATCTTACTGTTCAACGATTTTTAACTTCAAATTCTAACTTTTTCTTCCTCTTCTCATTGAGTTGAACTGTCTGTTTTTAAAGCAATGGGTTTCAAAAAAATCTTCTTTTTCTTCTTAATCCTCTTCCATCTAGCAGCACCTCTGGAACCTCACGTCAACTCGGAGGAACCGCCGTTGGAGTTCAGCCGACCAATAAACAACACTGAATGAATAACACACAAGCACTGAATGAACCAAACCAACACGCCACAAGGCAAAAAAAATACCGCAAAAAGACAAACATTTTGGTAAAAAAAAAACCCGATTTGTTCCTAAATTAAGGTTGATGGTTCAACCTCTCATAAAGGAACTATTTTTCCGACTGAACTCAGTCCCTGTAATTCCATTTACTTCCTGATTACGGTCTGAACAAACCTGTCCAATCAGTCCCATTCAGAGAAGAACTCTGACCTGACTGACCTCAGCTGAGAGCCGGCCCCTCAGCCTTGACCCGAGGTGTGGGACACCTCATTGTAGGACGCGTCGGCCCTGCAGCGCTCACAAAGGCTGGGACGCTAGAAATGAGGCACTCAAGAGAAACTGGAGAACTCCTGGCTCAACTCCTGTTCTTAAAGAAAAGCAATTCTAAAAATCAAGTGTTTTAAGTGAAGGTCCTGAGACGAGTTGGTGTTTTTCCCACATGGTCCTTTGTCTTAGTCTGGTGATTTGTCCTTTAAACACTAGTGGATTAGGACAACTGTGTGGGGCCGCAAAATATTTGGAAGTGTCCTTTTTTTTTAATTGTTTTGGCCTCTTGTGGCCCGTGAACCCCTAATTTGAAGCTGTATTTTGGTTTGAACTATTACAAAATTGTTTTGTTATTATTTTTATTTTTATTACTTTGTATATTGTTATTATTATTTTAAGTTCTCTGCTACTGTTGTTAAGCAGGAGTGTCAAACACATGGTTCAGGGGCCGTATACAGCCCAGTGTCCTGGACCAGTACAATAAGTACAACTATAGTAGTACAACTATATTACTATATCAGATAAATCTCAATTATATATATTTTTGTTAATTATAATAAAATATAATCGACAAAAATTAACAAAAGGGCCAGTTTTGGCCCGTGAGCCGTATGTTTGACAGCCCTGTTCTAGATTAAGACTACAGCATAAATAAAGATTTCCAGCCTTAACTTTGACTTCGTGTCTCCCACCCCCCCCCCCCCCCCCCCCCAAACTCACAGTCTTCAAAAGTGAAACAGCCTTTGGTGCCTTTGCTCCGACGAGGCTGGTCGTCCTGCAGTTTGGACAGCATGTCCAACGCTATGGTCCTCCTCTCCTCCATTCTTCTCTCCTCCTCAAGACCCTCTGGACTCCTCCCTGGGTCTGAGGACTCAGTGTCGTCACTGTGTCCTGGATAATTGGGCCCCTCCTCAGCCGGACCGTCTTTATCTGGAGCAGAGAAGAAAGAGCAGTCGATGTTTCAAAGATCGAATGAAATACTGTTTATATATATATATGTAATAACTTTTCTTAGTTGTGCTGATTAAAACTATCTGAGTTATGGGTGGAACCTCATCTGTATTCACTGTCGCCCACGTGGAAGTAGCCACTTAGCTCCGAGCTCTAAAACCCCATTTCTGCTCCTTCAACAAACAGCAGTTCACATCACATTGTTCCTCTAAACGCTGCGGTCACATCTCCCTCCACTCTTTCAGAGTCTCACTAAAGAAACGGACGCTCTCCCTCAAACCACTCTCTCCACTCATTTTGTCACCGAGCGGCCAATTAAGGCTCCCATTATCTCTGAATACGGAGTCTACAGAATGCACTTCTGGGTGGAGAAGCTCGGAGACAAAGAGCTCCATCAATGTGGACTCCAGCTTAAGGAAACCTCAGACTGTCTTTAGGAACAGTTTCTACTCGGCCATAAAGACTTTTTTTTTTTTTTACTGCTCCTAACTTCGTTCGTTAGCAGGATGAAGCTTAGAACACTCGGAGGGAGCGGATTTATCACGCCGTCCAAACATTACGGCATGGATTCATTCATCTCCTCAGTGGGCGTGAAGGAGAAGGTCAGCAGCTCAGATGGATGGAGCCATGTCTCATTTGACGGGCCCTCTTCCACCACACTGCACACCATCACAGGCCTCTGTACGTCTGCTGTGTCCTGCTCCAGGAGGAACAAATGTATTCATCTTTACGGAGAGGAATGAATCATTCCTGAGTTTAGGTTTATTCCTCATGCAACACAGCAAAAAAGCTAACATTTGGAAGTTGATCTCAGTACAGAAGGTATAGTTTTGCTTGAAAGCTAGAGTTGAGTCTCTGTTCAACACATTTAGTTGCATCTTTCTCAGTTCCCCAATATTTGGCACTCTGCTAACAACGCTAGCAGAGTGCCTAACACTAGAGCTAACATTAGCTACAACAGTCCTGGTACAGACCCCAGAGCTAACGTTAGCTACAACAGTCCTGGTACAGACACCAGAGCTAACATTAGCTACAACAGTCCTGGTCCAGACAACAGAGCTAATGTTAGCTACAACAGTCCTGGTGTAGACAGCCCACATAAACCAGATTCAATTTTGTTTATAGTTCCTGCAGCGTCAACCAAAATTAATTTAAATGGAATAAATCTTTGGTTAATTTGTCAAATATTGTTTTTTGATATATAAAAAAAACCCCTCATTAACATGCAAGGACTCAAATTATAATTAAATTACTATGATATTTTTATTTTTCTTGTATGGCCAATATTCACCCCTCTCAGAGCGGGGTACTGGAGCCGACTTCCCATTTTGAGGAAAATGAAAAAAACAAATGCATCTAGAAGATACAAGAAACCTTTCTCCACACTTTAATTTACAATAAAACCACACAAAACAACAAAGCATCACCAAAGTCACATGAAAGCCAACGTCCTCATCGCTAATGATAAAGGCGCGGTCCAATCTGCCATGGCAGACTGTTTGTGTAGTGTACAAATCTATTACATCTGCTTTAACCTCTGCACTAATTATTCAGGATTTGGTTTCCTTTCCTTTTCAAAACCTCCAGCCCAGCCCTAATCCATGAATGCACACTGATTACTGGTCAGTTCAAACTGGAAACACCTAAACACACACACGCTAAGAGTGTGTTTCCATACCAACCAGCATCTGAGCAGAGCAGATAGTTGGATTTGGCTGCGAGTGGCTCGACTCAAATCCCCCCTCAGAACACACGGTGGGCAAACCCAGAACTGCCTGCGAACAGTTGCAGCGTCCAGCTCACCAGGCAGAGGCAAGAAGGTCGGCCGTGTAGCTCTTTTGCTCTGCGTGTTTGAGAAAAGGATGAGCATCGGCGAGACAATCGGCCTTTCACCGATGCCACCCAGAGCTTCTGCTACTCTATCTGCCGGAGAAGAAAAGCATAATGGGAGCAGGAGAGAAAATCCACAGCAAATCATTATTCATGGGGAAGAGGATTTTCCTTCAGGGAAGCTTTTCCCAACACGTCAGGCCTCTCTATCAGCTCTGACAAGTGCCAATCAAAGGGCCGGGCTCCAGGTTTCTTTGTAGGGAGGGGTGTGTGTGTGTGTGTGTGTGTGTGTGTGGAAATGCTGGAGGATTTTGAAGACAATAGGCAGTGGAAGACTTGTAGACAATGGAGGACATTGCTACACTGTCAGTGTGTGGTCCATCCTTTACTCAGTACATGACTAATCTCTGCTCTGACCGTCTCCGTCCGTCTCTCCGCAGCTCTAATCTGACCTGTAGTTTCTGACCGGGTCGCTCCAGATTAGCGCGTCTTTCTTTCCTTTTTGGACGCTAACATCTTCAGTAGCAGCTGAATGCTAAACACCGGGGCTGTACGGCGAGTGACCGGGGGGCAGCGGGGACACATTAAGGAGACTCTGATGAGGGCAGGGATTAGAGCAGCTATGAATTCCTGATGAGACCCCCCGAATAAAGGTCTGATGATGAGCCTCAGTGGGGAGCAGGAGGAGCAGGAGGAGCAGGAGGAGCAGGAGGAGCAGGAGGAGCAGGAGGAGCAGGAGGAGCAGGAGGAGCAGGAGGAGCAGGAGGAGCAGGAGGAGCAGGAGGAGCAGGAGGAGCAGGAGGAGCAGGAGGAGCAGGAGGAGCAGGAGGAGCAGGAGGAGCAGGAGGAGCAGGAGGAGCAGGAGGAGCAGGAGGAGCAGGAGGAGCAGGAGGAGCAGGAGGAGCAGGAGGAGCAGGAGGAGCAGGAGGAGCAGGAGGAGCAGGAGGAGCAGCGGTGTTCATCACTTCATGACTTCATTCTAAGCTTAAACCCACTTCCAATTGATGTGAGGATCAGGACGGTTCATGAGGATCAACATGTGTCATTAATGGCTTCATTATTAAACATTAGATGGAAATTGTGCAGAATTACTTATTGTGCAAAGGAACGTTATGACTCTGGACGCCGCCGCCGCTGACTGAAAAGCAGGGTTGAGGTGCATGATGGGAAGTAATGAATATCAAAATCAAGGATTCTGAAACCCTTTGACAAGAAACAAAGCTATTATTTATTATTGTTATTTCTTTATCAATTTGTAAAAAAATATATTTTTCATGAAATGTTGGAACTATGTTTTGGTCAAATTCTGCAGGAACGATTTTCATAAATGCTGTAAAGTTGTGACAAATATCAAACCAATTTGAATTTTTTTTTGTTAGCTTGTTTTGATAAATACTTGGCTAGCTTTAAGCTTAGGGGAACTTAATCCCCTTTTATTTGCCTTACTTATTTTTATTTAATTTGTTTGTTTATTTGCTTCATTTTAGCCATTTTTGATGAAACTTTTGTTTACCTTTTTTAAATATATTTTTTTTAGCAATTTTATTTTTTATGGAAAAAATGTTTTGAGAGCTACGTTTAGTTAAATTATAATCATTTATAAATTGTATTTGTCATCAGTTACCAGCGATTCATACATTTTGGTTCATTAATGTTTTTTTTGTTTGTTTGTTTTTATTAAAATGTTGTTAAATTTAAACTATTACTGATTATTCTGATATTAAGTTATCATTTTATAAACTTTATGCTTTTTTTAAATTGACAGAATCATGTAAATTTGAATTTTCAATTTGCATTCTGCTTCACTTGTTGGAGAACAATTTGGAATTTTAAAATGTAAAAAAAAATAAACTTTTTATTCTATTTCTAGTATGCGATTAATGTTGGCCTTGGTCAAGACATCTTATTGCTAACTTATCCTAATAGTTTAATGGTTTAATAGCGTTTCTTCAGACTTTGACGCCTATTCTAATAGTTCAATAGTTTAATAGCGTTTCTTCAGACTTTGACGCCTTTATTTTTATCTTCTTGTGAGTTCCAGTAAAAAGAGAAAAGCCTAAATCACAGGACCTCAGCAGGACTCATGTATAAGCTGCGTTTTCCTAACGGCCTCATGTTCACAGAGTCAAGCCAGGGTCAGTCCCTCCATTACGTTTAGCAGCTCTATTGAAAGGTTGAACCACTTTCACCTCCAGGGAAACCAAATCTCACCTATCCACACAAAGACATGCCACACACTGGGCGTGACCTGAGCTCTGACCTCTCTGACGCCCTGCTGATGACCCCCGGCACAGAGAGCGACCGTGCCTTTGGCCTCCAAAAGGTCAGAACACATAAGCTGACCATCACCCGAACTCTCGAGGTGATGTCTTTTTTTTTGCCCCTGTTTGTCTAATTGTTATAGGGCAGTTAAACACAGGGGGCAGATTTTACAGCTGGTTTTATTTTATTTATTTTTTTACCACTAGTTTCACTTATTGTAACACAGTGACAATGGGTGACTGACAGTGTTTACATTTTACAGGCTAATAAATCAATCAGTTTTGACAATTAGTAGAAAATTCAATCTGTTTTTTGCATCTGTTCATACCACTGTTCTGCCCTCTATTTTTTTTTTTTTTTTGGAGTTAGTTTACAACTATTTACAATATCACTGAGCTAAATCTGGTTTTATTTATTTATTTATTTTAAATTTATGACACAATATTAGGTTTATCGAAGAAATTTTTCAGAAACCGAGCTCCGAGCCCTAGTGCAGTGACTCTAAACCACAGGGTTGTGTCCCATATTTGGGCCAAAAGAACTACCTAAAGGGCCGCAGAAAAATATCAGTTTTGCCTTTGTGGGCCACAGGACTGCATAGGTTAGTAACTAAAGATAACAGAGCTGGGTTAGGCAAAAATAAAGATGTTGATTATGCCGACCCGCCCTGACCCTCCAACGACTACATCTCTGACTTTATCAAATCAACATTTTTAATGGGATCCTGGCCACTTTGTTCTATAAAAATTGGACCTCAAGGTCAAAAAGGTTAAGAACCCCTGCTTTAGTCTAAAACTCAAATGAGCAAATGAGCTAAAGTTGTGTTTTATATAGAGGCCAAGTTCTTCCACCTTGAGTTCCACTGTGTCAGGAGGATCAGGAGTAAAAACTCTGTGAGGATTACGTCGTAGCGACCTGTGTCGAAGGGAAGAAGACCCAGAGTCATTCTTCTTCAGACGTCCATGACTGTGTAAATGTTCTTGCCCAGTGACTGATGACAACTTGTCGACACTGTTCGATCCCCCGATGTAGAGATTAATTGTTGCAAAAAAAGCCTGATTTATTTCTCTACTCTCCTTCAGAGTTGACTGCATTTTAGCCTTTAATATCCCCAACCTCTGAGTCAACAATGAATGTCCACAGCAGACGTGCAGGATCACAGTACCAGATCACTACACGCTGGTCATCGTATCAATCTCCTGCAGTGATGGATGCATCCCCTAAATGGAAAGTCATTTAGGGAAACAGCAGACCGTGGACCATTAGCCTGGTCGCACAACGACTGGTCGTTGACGTGTGAGTCACCTACGGAAAGAACCGGGTCCCGACAGATGTGGTCTTTGAAGGGCGTCTCCAACCTGACCTTTTCACCGTCTGCCGCCGCTGCCAAACCTTCGCCAGCGTTTTTACAGTAAAAGCCCTTCCTCAGAGCACGCCGATAATGAAAGTACACAGAGAGATCCACACAGGTGAAGGTGATACTGGCAGCCAGCTGGTCCTGGCCTGGATTAGGGAGGCTTAAGTGTACCGGAGGAAAGAGAAGGCCAAACACCGCACTGACAGTGAGGGGACAATGGCTGCTAATAAAGCAGAGCTGACACAGACTGAACAGGCTTTTACCGGCTCAGACGCTAACGGTGAAGACGGCTCTTCTACTGATTAACTTCTCTTGTTAAAGGATCTACACATTCAGAGTCGGGCCTCGGCCGGGGACTGGCACAGGTGGAGGAGGTAGAGTCATAAGGAATACTTTACTGTGATTGGAGGAGTCGGGAGACAGCGAGGATCTGAACATGTCGCTTGAAGGACTGGGGTCAATGATCCAGGATGATGGAGATCCTGAGCCTCCGTCGGACCAATCCTGATGAGAAAAAACAAAAACAAAAAACAAAACACATTTGAAGGTGAAATGGAGGAGAAAAATATATCTTTACTCTGAAACATATTTGAAAAACAATGAACTTCAAAAGTAATACGGTGAAAATAGAAAGACCTAAAAAACAGATTTTTTTTAAACTTTGTCTCAGCAATTACAAATAGTATGGATCATCATCATCATCATCATCACCATCATCGTCATCATCATCATCATCATCATCATCATCATCATCATCATCATCATCATCATCATCATCATCATCATCATCATCATCATCATCATCATCGTCATCATGGTCATCATGGTCAATTTATAATTGTGAAATGGTTATCTTCATCGACGTCACCCTCGCCATCATCAACCCCATAGCCATAGAGAGTCATTGTCATCATCATCATCACCATCATCATCATCATCATCATCATCATCTTTTTCTTCCTCAGCTCCACCACTGGTTTTTCCACTTCTCCTCATATCTGATATCTAATCCACCGTGGAGACTTACGTCAGTGAGGTGAATTATGCAAATCACTGACGTTTGTGTTCCCTACAGCTCCTCACGGTGGTTGGGAACAACAAGGAACCACAGTTGGAGAAGTCGTGCTGTAAACCACGCTCCTGCTCTTTGTGTCTCCTGTGGCACTGAGAGCAGACCACAGTGGATCAGGTGGAACTCTCCGTCTGCTCCTCCTGCTGCTGGAGCTGCAGGAGGAGC